CTTCTCACACCACTGTTTTGGTTAATGTAGCGATTATTTTTATTAAACCATACGATGTAATTTTTATTAATGATAAATCTATTTATTAATATTTTTACATATAACATTGCATATGTCTAGCAATTTGTTCTGAATGTTTTAATCTTCTAACTTAGATAAGTATTTACTACAACAATAATTTTTTGTAATATTAAATACAAATTTATTTAATATGCTAAAATTATTGGATATTTTATCATGTTAGTTTTTGTTGCGTGGATAATCTCTAGTATTTCATATTTGATGAAAAATTATTCCTCACGATTCTTGAGAGTCTCTAGCCTAGTTTGGAGACTGTTGTTGGGCTGCAAACCATTGGTCATGGGCCCTCATTTTACTCATATAAAATACTAATATTACATGTTATTCAACTTTTCTTTAATAACATTTAGCCAAAAAAAAAAAACATTTCAGTGTACCAAATATATTTATTATTATAAATATGTACCGGATAAAAAATGTATTGAAAAAATATAATAACAAGAAAGACTCTCAAGAATCGTTTTATGTCAACTTTTTTAAAGAAAAGTCCAACTTGCTCTGTTTTTTCCCTCAAAAGGTTCTGTTTTTTTTTCCAGCTTCTCTTCTTTTATTTTAAGAAGAGCACATAGTAACAGTGATTGTAAAAATGTTTTTGATGGAATAAATTTAACATTCTTTGCGAAAAAAATATTTTTAGTGAGCATGCTTGATTCCAATTATATGAAGTATTTTTTTTGTTCCAACATTCGCTTTGTTGAATGACAATCTTCAGTTTTCCCTTTCCTTAGAATTAGAAAGGCACCACATATAGAATTAGTGATTCTTATGCATTTCTTGGCACCATGAAAATGCGCTTCCGAAATATGAAATTCCTGCGATGACAAAGTTTAGAAACTGCGATTTTCCAATAAAATCAAATGTTTTGGCAACCCATTGACCGCTTGATTCTGCTCTTCAGTCTATGGACCAAGGGTTTATAATCAGCTTGTGACAACTTCCTAGTACATAGGGGAAATCCAAGACCGCGGACATGCAAAACTCCATATTTCAATCCGATGGTATGTTCTGTTTGGCAGATTTTGAGGATAGTCTTGATGTCTTTTGAATACTTATTGCTAGTCCAAATATGGTTTCAAACTCTTTCAGAACTTGGATAATGTTATTGACTGATTGGAGAGTTCCTTCGTGAATATGAGAAAATCATCCGCAAAGCAAAGGTCAGTTTGACTGATTGGAGAGTTCCATTCGTGAATATGGGAAAATCATCCGCAAAGTAAAGGTCAGTGAGTTCTAAGTTTTTACATCTATAATATAACCAAGTTCTCTTGATTTGTAGTATTTTAATGTCTTATTTGAATTGAAAGTCGTAGTGTATAGCATGATCCGCACAAAAACAAAAAATGAAAGCAGCAATGTCGATTTCAGGTAAAAAACAATATTATTTATATAAACAATACACAATCATTTTCCTACGAAATTTGTTTTCAGCTCCATATTTCTCTATGACCATGATATATTGATGCAAACCGTTTAGATTTTTATGAACAGGTCATAAACATATTCATTTTTAATTTTCATGCATTAAATAGAAGATTTAAAAAAAAAAAAAAACAAGTAACAATATGTTGGGCGATTTATTGGAAACAATGCAATTCGTTTTTTCCAAACAGTTCTAATATATAATTCTGTAACTTTTTAATATTTACTTAATTCCTTCTTTTTAGCTAGTGTAATTCTACATAAACTTTAAAATTCTTATATAGTGGAATTAGACAAGGGACAATTACAAAAATGCCACTTTTTGTGTGTACATTTGCAAGAATGCCACTTAGGGGTGTCCATTTACAAAAATGTTACTAATTATAGATTTATAAAACCTATATCTTAAAATTCTAAATCCTAAAAACTGTTTTGACACCCCCTAAACATTCAAAACTAAACCCTAATAGAACATAATTAACCCAAACATAAATAATATAAAGAAAAAATAATTTTGAAAAAGTGGCATTTTTGTAAAGATTTCAAAAGTGTGGCATTTTTGTAAAGTGACACTTGAAAAGTGGCATTTTTTGAAATTTCTCATTAGTAGATAATGTAGATGTTAGATACAAATTGTTAGGGGTGTCAAACTGAGCTACGTC